TTGCGTTCCGAAATTTACTGTCAGTACTGAAATTCTATAGTATACCTTTATAGAAATATCATACTAAGAATCATTGATAATTACTTATTTTCAGTATTAAAAATACTGAAAAATAAGTAATTATCAATGATTCTTAGTATGATATTTCTAGAAGGGTATGTGACATGAACTATAAATTTTCAGTACTGGAAGTGAATTTCGAAACGCAACCTTAGAAAAAAGGAAAAGTTCTTTTATTCACTGTCATCGTTATTTACTGCTTAAGGTTTACCACTTATATCGCAGGTCATAAAACTATTCACACAAGACAATGTTATCTTTTTCAAGATTGAGTTTTTGTCGAAGATATAATACATTCTAATCTCAAAGAATTCAGTATTCTGTATTTAGACGGAGAGCACATTTATGTTTGAGAAAAAAGGAATTCTTCTCAAGCAGTAAATCCCACAATGGCAGTAAATAAAAAAACTCTCCTTTTTTTCTAAATTGATTATTTGAAATATGTTACATGTAACATACATGTTAGTTATAATTTCTTACTCAACAAACAATATAACTGTTATATATGTTGTGCCCTCAATTAGGGTAAGCACAACCGGTAATTGGGATTCCGGTGCGAACGTGCAAACGGTTAGGATAATAAGGGAGTCTTATAACCTTGAGGAGTTTTTATAATAAAAATATATTATTGAACTTGTCTTCTTACAGTTTCCGATCACGTTCTATTACACTTCACATAGATACGTTTTAACTAATCCTTTACCGAGTAGGTTAATGTTATTATAATGCGAAACACTCTTATTACTCCCGAGTCAGCTGTCTCTCACTTGAGACATGTAACGTACGCCTCTATACTCGTCAGTATCTCTCTCTACTCTCTCTTCGCGTAGGTGGTCCAACTCTTTATATATCATTCATGAAATTAGGGAATTAGGTTACCGACCTAATTACCTAACAATTCAAAAGTGTAACGTGATGTTTCTGCAGCGCGTGCACTTTTGATTTATTTGCCGTATTTCGCAATGTTCGTTTATGCAATACATGCATTTCGGCTGAAACGTCTTTTAGCGTTTCAACATGTTTTGTCCTACATAACATATAATATATGTGTTATATAACAGTTACATTGTTAAATAGGAAATTACAACTAACATGTATGTTATATGTAACATTGTGTTTGCTGGGAATATAATTTGTAAAAACGAGTATTGTAATATAAATTGTAAATAGTACAACGAAATGGCTAAAGTAGCGCGCGCGAAGCGCGCGCTATGTGGTGTTCTAGTATATGTAAAAGTGCAATATTTCAGTAATATTTCTGTAATATTTCATTGTGATATGTAATATTACCACTATATTGCAATATCACTGCAATATTTCTGCAATATTACGTGCTGTGTGGAAAATAATTAACTTCGCTGAATGACGTCTTCAGTAAATCATTGTCAGACAATTTATAGTGTATTATAGTGTATTATAATCAGGGTTAGGAAGTAACGCGTTACTTGTAACAACGTTACTATTTTGTTACTTTTTTTTTGTAACGATTTGGTAACGCCGTTACTTTTTTGTATCAGAAACGAAAAAATAACGGCGTTACATTTTCATTAGTAACGAATAACGAAATTCATCGTTACTTGTATCGTTACTTTTTTACTATAGTGACTTTTGTACACAGAACGCGGCAACACTTGCCACGCGACGAAAGTTTGCACACGATAAACAATTAATATGTTTTTCGTAAAGCCCATTCTACAATAAGTAATAAATCTTAAGTCATAACAAAATTGATCAATCATAGTCGACTATTAGAAGAATAATCCACTGTAATTGGTCAATTTTATTGCAACTTAAAACTTATTGCTTATTGTAGAAAGCCTCTAAAGCGTGGTCTACAATGAGAACTTAAGCCTTAAAATTTAAGCCTTAAAACTTAAGCCTTAAAATTTAAGCTTTAAACTCTAAGCCGTAAGAAATTGATCAGTTACAGTCAATTATTTTTCTTATAATTGACTGTGATTAGTCAACTTCTTACGGCTTAGGACTTAAAGCTTAAATTTTATGTCTTAAGTTCTTATTGTAGACCACGCTTAACCCTTTGCGACATACATTTCTCTATCAAATTAATTTCACAGATAAATGTACCTTTAGGGGTTTTTGGTAATCGCTGATTACGAATCCGAAGCCAGATTTTCAAAATTTAAAATGGCGGATCCAATATGGCGGACGAATTTTATAAAATTATAGTATTTGTATGG